TTACTTCACTTTTGTTTACTATCTACTTCACTTGCTTTGGCAATGTTAGCATACGTTTCCCATGCCAATAAAGCCCTTAAATTGAAATTGAAATTGCGAGAGAGAGAGAGAGAGAGAGACAGAGAGACAGAGAGAGAGAATAGCAGGAATAACTATGCAAAGGGTAAAACCCCTCAGTTTAGTTTTCAGACTCTACTAATCACTGTGGAGTGACATGATGACATCCTTTCCTCCGAGGCGGAAACAACAGCAACGGAGGAGACATAAATCTGGGAGGCAGAACTACTTTGTCAAGGATGTTAGAACCTTCATCCATCACTCATCATTCTGATCTGACCTGGGACTTCTACCTGACTATCTACCTGACAATCTGAAGCCAGACCGCACTCTCACCTGTCATCACTTTACAAAGTATTTCTGTCTGTCTCATGTTTTTTCCCCCTCATCTACAGGGTCGAGGATGTTGAGCAGACTTGGGAGGTGATGTGACTGGAGAGGGAACCAGACTATCCTGTACAGTGAGGCGTATTGAGACAGACATCATCTCTGAGGGGTAACTGGTCAACTCAGGGGTGTGGTGTGGTGCAGTAGTAGGCTAGGCAGGGGGGCACGGTGGCACGGTGACAGGGTGGCAGGGTGGCACGGTGGCACGGTGGCACGGTGACAGGGTGGCAGTGCGAACGGTGGCAGGGTGGCACGGTGACAGGGTGGCAGGGGGGCATGGTGACAGGGTGGCAGGGGGGCATGGTGACAGGGTGGCAGGGTGGCAGGGTGGCAGGGTGGCACGGTGACAGGGTGGCAGTGCGAACGGTGGCACGGTGGCACGGTGACAGGGTGGCAGTGCGAACGGTGGCAGGGTGGCAGGAGGCAGGGCGGCAGGGGGGCATGGTGGCACGGTGACAGGGTGGCAGTGCGAACGGTGGCAGGGTGGCAGGAGGCAGGGCAGCAGGGGGGCATGGTGGCACGGTGACAGGGTGGCAGTGCGAACGGTGGCAGGGTGGCAGGAGGCAGGGCGGCAGGGTGGCACGGTGACAGGGTGGCAGTGCGAACGGTGGCAGGGTGGCAGGAGGCAGGGCGGCAGGGGGGCATGGTGGCACGGCGGCAGGGCGACACGGTGACAGGGTGACAGGAGGCAGGGCGGCAGGGGGGCATGGTGGCACGGCGGCAGGCGACACGGTGACAGGGTGACAGGGTGGCACGGTGGCAGGGCGGCATGGTGGGACGGCGGCAGGGCGGCAGGGCGGCAGGGCGGCAGGGGGGCAGGGGGGCAGGGGGTTACGGTGGCGCAGTGGCACGGTGGCAGGGTGCGGAGGGGTGTGTGTCTGTGTCTACTGACAACTAGTCACCGGCTGAACCAATGAGATTGATTGATTGATTGATTATTTGACAGTTCAAAAAATACATATATATACACAGTACATACCTTTTAAAACCTGACAGGGATAACACGATAAAGAGACTGAAGTCCAGGTCACGGTCAAAATTATTCATAGTCACGCTTCAACTCTAGTTTTTACTCCAGACATAATTTCTCCTTGCGACACAACAAATTGGGACTAAACAAAACTCTATTGTTACTAGACTATCTGGAGAACAGGTTACATCTCCTCACCCTGAGGGAACGAGCACAGCTAAGTATACCTAAAACATCTTGAGAGCGTTCGCGAAACACAAAACCGCTAATTTAAGTATTTTCAGGGAATTTATTATCAGACTCATGCATAACCCATGCAATCATATTCAATCCATCTACAAAACGATCCCTGTGATTCTCAACAGGAGACTGGGACTGATCTGAGGGTTCTGACACACACACACTCAATGGGAGACCGGGGTGAACCGGGACTGTAACACAGTCTGTGACTGATTGTAATGAGCAGCTTGTTACTTCCTGCGCTGAGAAAACAAGCCTAAATTAAGCACGACACTGCCCCCCAATGACGCTACAGATAGGAACCGTACGGCTCACATCCATCCACAACATCCATCCATCCAAAGACACTCATCATTTGGACCTGGAGACAGAGAAATCTAAGACATGAAATGGCAAATTAAGCTCTAGAACAGACACCTTAATTTGAGCCATTCAGAAGAAGGATGGTAGAAACAATATATCCTCAATAGCTGGTGGAAGTGTGTAGCTGGTGGATGTATGTGTAGCTGGTGGAAGTGTGTAGCTGGTGGATGTATGTGTAGCTGGTGGATGTATGTGTAGCTGGTGGATGTGTGTAGCTGGTGAGTGTGTGTAGCTGGTGGATGTGTGTAGCTGGTGGATGTGTGTAGCTGGTGGATGTATGTGTAGCTGGTGATGTATGTGTAGCTGGTGGATTTGTGTAGCTGGTGAGTGTGTGTAGCTGGTGGATGTGTGTAGCTGGTGGATGTGTGTGTAGCTGGTGGATGTGTGTGTAGCTGGTGGTTGTGTGTGTAGCTGGTGGATGTTTGTGTAGCTGGTGGATGTGTGTGTAGTTGGTGGATGTGTGTGTAGCTGGTGTGTGTGTGTGTAGCTGGTGGACGTATGTGTAGCTGGTGTGTGTGTGTGTAGCTGGTGGATGTGTGTAGCTGGTGGGTGTATGTGTAGCTGGTGGGTGTGTGTCGCTGGTAGATGTGTGTGTAGCTGGTGGGTGTATGTGTAGCTGGTGGATGTGTGTGTAGCTGGTGGATGTGTGTAACTGGTGGATGTGTGTGTAGCTGGTGGATGTGTGTAGCTGGTGGATGTGTGTGTAGCTGGTGGATGTGTGTAGCTGGTGTGTGTATGTAGCTGGTGGATGTGTGTGTAGCTGGTGGATGTGTGTGTAAATGGTGGATGTGTGTAGCTGGTGGGTGTGTGTAGCTGGTGTGTGTGTGTAGCTGGTGGGTGTATGTGTACCTGGTGGGTGTGTGTGTAGCTGGTGGATGTGTGTGTAGCTGGTGGATGTGTGTAGCTGGTGGGTGTGTGTAGCTGGTGTGTGTGTGTAGCTGGTGGGTGTATGTGTACCTGGTGGGTGTGTGTGTAGCTGGTAGATGTGTGTGTACAGTATGTGAGATGATTAAAATAGTTGATGGTCTGTCTGTCTGTCTGTCTGTCTGTCTGTCTGTCTGTCTGTCTGTCTGTCTGTCTGTCTGTCTGTCTGTCTGTCTGTCTGTCTGTCTGTCTGTCTGTCTGTCTGTCTGTCTGTCATACCAACAACACCACCACCACCTAGCCTACAGCTGAATCAGACCACACAACACCTAGCCTACAGCTGAATCAGACCGCACCACCACCTATCCTATAGCTGAATCAGACCACACCACCACCTAGCCTACAGCTGAATCAGACCACACAACACCTAGACTACAGCTGAATCAGACCACACCACCACCTATCCTATAGCTGAATCAGACCACACAACACCTAGCCTATAGCTGAATCAGACCACACAACACCTAGACTACAGCTGAATCAGACCACACCACTACCACCACCCTGAACCTACAGCTGAATCAGGCCACACAACAGCTAGCCTACAGCTGAATCAGACCACACGAAACCTAGACTACAGCTGAATCAGACCACACCACTACCACCACCACCTAACCTACAGCTGAATCAGACCACACAACACCTAGCCTACAGCTGAATCAGACCACACCACACCTAGCCTACAGCTGAATCAGACCACACAACACTTTAAATAAAACTATACTAAATATAATCATGTCACCAAATAATTGATTAAAACACACTGTTTTGCAATGAAGGTCTCCAGTGGCCTCAGCAGCACTCTGTAGGGTAGCACCAAGGTGTAGCCGGAGGACAGCTAGTTTCCATCCTCCTCTTGGTACATTGACTTCAATTCAAAACCTAGGAGGCTCATGGTTCTCACCCCCTTCCATAGACTTACACAGTAATTGGGTGATTCTGCAACTTCAGGCACTTTGGCCCTGCAAGCTTTCAGAAATTAAAACTTACTGAAACAGCATTTTACCAGTATTATAATTGTCTTTGATTTGTCTAGAAATAATATATAATAATGGCTGCGATCGTACTATTTAGGAATGTATATATTTTTGTAATTTTTCTCAGACAGCCATAGACAAATGTAATTTCCATCACTTCATTAAACATCCATTTTAGTTGAAAATGAAATATCATACAATTAATTTATAACACATTTCTTATACATTTGTACATTAACTTGTATTGAATATTATTTTAAGTGAGTTTTAAGGTTTTCCTAATATTAATCATTCAACACAACGCCTGAATGTAAAACTTGCCTTTGAGACAGCTGAAAACATTTATTTATCATGAAATATAAGATATTTCCACCCAACCTTTTTGTGAGATTATGATAACAACCATATGATTTCCCTATCTAAAACAAATCAATCAATGTAAATTATACATAATATACTAATTTACCTAAAAAAATATGGGTGTGCTGGAAATGACAAAGTGTGGTGAAACTGACAATAAAAAATATTCTCTGCACAAGCAAGAACCAAGGAAAATATTGTTTTTCCTAATCATATTTTTTGTGATTCAATAACTGTTTAGGGTTAAAAAAAAGCATCCTACAATTTCCACATTTTAATTTTAATTTTAATTTTTTATTTTACAGCATGTCCACTGTAGTGGACAACAGGATCATTTGAGTACGAAAAGAGACACATTTGGTAGATACAAATTTTTACAGAGTTCTTACAGATTACAGAGTTTTTATGAACTAAGAATACATACATTTTGGGCTGTAGATTGATTATTATCCAAGAATACAGACATTTTGATTATACAATACACATTAATCATTCTTGAATCCTTTTCCTTACATTTCGCAAGGATAGCTTTACTATTAAAGCTTAACACTTTGTTATGTCCATATCCTTTGATTGGTCCCCTTGAATCCTTTCAGTGTTATTTGAACAATGAACATATAACTAATGTGTAACAGATTTATTTTGGATTTTTTCCTTTTGTCAAACTGAGTCCAATCTAGCTTTTTCCTTCACTCTTCATTTTGTTCTTAGTATTTTCTTTGTTAGTGGTGAAAGTCCTGGAAGCAATTTCTCTTTTTGGTAATGCAGAGGAACATCTTGCATTTGGTACATCTCATGTACGTCTTGCTCTTGCAGCCCTTATTTCTGCATCTTTCTGCATGCTTGGTATCCATCATCTCAGGCATGTGCATGGCTCCTAGTCTGCGCACAGATGGCTCTGGTTGTGGGATCCTCATTTTAGATGGTGGCTCATACTCATCCTCACTCTCTTCACAGCTGTTTTCCAGTTCCGGACTCTCCAACAGCTCCTCAGCTAGGAGTAGTTTGAAGTCCAGGTACTGATGTGTGTTCTTGGATGGTCTGTGCAGAGCTTTGCTGTCAGACTGGTATTGTATCCAGGAGTTGGTGATGGCAACATCAAAGAAGTGACTGATCACGCGCGATGTCCACTTCTTGGTCCTGCTTGACATACGATAGAAGCTAAGCATGCGATCACAAAGATCTACGCCACCCATGTTATCATTATACTGCTTAATTACTGCTGGTCTTTTAACCTGGACCAGGTGCTTTTCTTTCTGGGACCATCTGGTACAGATGTCTTCTGGGTCTTTCCCATGTACAGTGGATGCCATGAGCACTGGTTTGTTGTCGAACCATTTTGTGATGGCCAGCTCAGGACTCTTTCTGGCCACTGACACTGATGTTCCTCTCCCCTCTTTTTTCAACTGTTTGTCTACTGGCAGCTGGCACAGCTTTGGGACACGGTTCTTCATTATAGTTCCAGTTGCAGGAAGGCCCTTTGCCAGCAATGCATCCAATAGATCTATGGTTGTGAAGTACCTGTCAAAGAATATGTGGCTTCCTGTTGGAACAGATTCAACCATGCGTAGAACTGCTGCAGCTCCAACTCCTAACCTTTGGACTGTAAAGGTATTCTTCCCTTGGTAGACTTCAAAATCAAGCATCAGACCATTTGGGGATGCAAGGACAAAGACCTTTAGGCCAGTAGGGTTTGGCTTGCCGGGAACATATTGCCTGACTGGACAACGGCCTGTGAATGGGATGATTTGCTCATCAATGCAGACCCTTTCTGGCTTTGCAAGGCTGAGACAGCCTTGGCGCACACGATCGAGTATTGGCCTGACTTTCCAAAGAATATCTGCCTTCTTTGTTTCCTCTGTTACAGCCAGGTCATTGACAATCTTGAGGGAATTTCTTATCCTGAAGAATCTATCCCTAGTCATTTTGCTACTTATGACTGGCACTTTAGTTTTGTTGGGCCAAAACATTTTAATTCTGGGATAGCCAAGGCAGGCCATGTGGACTGAAATGCCCAAGAAGATTTTTATTTCTTGTGGCGTGGTGTTCATGCACACTCCTTTGATTTGCAGCTCTCTTTGATTTGTGTATGTTGCCAAATCTTCAAAGACCTTGTTGTCAATGTACTGTGAAAAGTATTCAATTGGACTCCAGTCTGCACGTGTTGTAGGGTCATCTTGACACACAGGAAGCCCAGGTAACACAGGTGCAAATCTGATATGAAGGAAAAAAGAATAATAAATGATAAGTAATAACAGTTTAAATACTCAATGCAGCTGAATTTAAAATTGTGGAACTGCATCAAACATACATGTTATTCCTGGCCCACAGAGGGCGACGAGTTTCCTGTTCATCCCTGTCTGTATCTGTGTCTGTGTCTGCATCTGTCCCTTCAACTGAGCCTTCTGCATTGTCTTCCTCTTCTTCATCACCGTTTTGTATCACTGGTTGAAACTTATCCTCATCTCTCTCATCATCTGACAACTCCAAATCTGAATCTCCCTCGACTATTCGGTAAAGAATTCTTTCTGCTTCAGTTCTGTTTCCTACGACAATGTGGAGTCATTATTTACATGAAGATAGTCCTGATGTCCACTATAATTGACATTCATAAAATGGCAAATCTTTCAAAAGATATATAATTTAGTTGCTATCAGAACTAAATATATGATTCCTAACACCTTCATGAACAAGAAAATATATGATTATCATAGTAACAAAACCATAGACAAACAATATTTGACTTACCTCTCATCTTTCCATAAAATGTGCTTGTTCCTTTGCCGTCCATTTTGAAAGGAAAGATAGAGGCGGTTCCCGGCCTCCCAGCCAATCAAATGACATATCACTGAAAAGCCCAGGATGTCCTCTGTACAGTACAGCAGGAATTAAGAGACTTGCACAAAATATTCCAAGAAGAGGGATGAAACTCAAATGTCCACAACAGTGGACATAAGTCAATGGGCGGGGTCTCAGGAGGATATATATGATATATTTATCCTAGATTTGTCTTCAACTTCTGGATATCACATCTGGAACAACTGTCCGCTGCAGCCATGTGCTTCAGTGTCGCAAGATGTTTCCATGGTAACTAAATTAACATTCTCTTGACAAAACTTTATTAATTAACCTCTTAAGGATCGGACCCATTTTTTTCCATTTCGCCTAAAATGACATACCCAAATCTAACTGCCTGTAGCTCAGGACCTGAAGCAAGGATATGCATATTCTTGATACCATTCGAAAGGAAACACTTTGAAGTTTGTGGAAATGGGAAATTAATGTAGGAGAATATAACACATCAGATCTGGTAAAAGATAATACAAACAAAAAAACATGCGTTTTGATACTAATTGATAATAAAGGTATAATCTTTGTAAATGATATTATTGGTAGGACTGGTGGAGTTATGTCGCACATGCAGCTAACAAAAACATATGGAAATGTCTGCTCTACGCAAAATTACAACCAAATAATTGCAGCATTACCGCAAAAAATGGAAAAGGAAAGTGGAACGGGGAAAAAGTAAGGAACTTGTCTGTCGGCCTTGCATTAAAGAATATAATTGGTTAAAGAAAATTGTGTTAAATAAAAAAGTATACCAGTTTCATTTAAGGACCAAAGGATTGACAGCCGTCCCATATGATGTTATTTTAATGGACAAAAAAAATGCTTTTCTTTCAAAAACAAGGACATTTCTAAGTGACCCTAAACTTTTGAACGGTAGTGTATATTTTTATACAAAATACTAAAAACTGACCCTGAGGACATAGAAGTCCCCGTGGTTGCAGAATTACCCGATTATGAAAACTTCCGTAGGACATCCTCCAACCTATCAGAGCTCTTGCAACACGAACTGACATGTTGTCCACCCAATCAAAGGATCAGAGAATGAATATAGTACTGAAAGCATAAGCTACAGCTAGTGAGTAGTTGACTCAAAGAGAGGGAAAGACAATAGTTGAACAGTTTTTAACACATTTATTTATTTAAAAATGAAGGAGAAGTGAGAGAGAGAGCGCTAGCTATATTTTTTTTTATTTCACTTAGCTTAGTGAATGCAGCAAGCTAGTTTAGCCTTCTTAGCCTACTCAAACAAAGAGGGATGCTACGTGTGTGCTAGTGATGCGCGGGTTGACTCATGAACTGCAGTCCCGTGGTTATATAATAATAAGCCATTTAGCCGACGCTTTTATCCAAAGCGACTTACAGTCATGCGTGCATACATTTTTGTGTATGGGTGGTCCCGGGGATCGAACCAACTACCTTGGCGTTACAAGCGCCGTGCTCTACCAGCTGAGCTACAGAGGACCACATAAATCCCCTGGGGCAGACGGGTTTAGGTTCATTAAATATGTCATGGCTGAAGGGTGAGCGGGTTGAATAAAGGGAAACAATACATTTTTCTCTCAGTATATTAGAATATCTGGTATTTAGTGCATAAGGTTAAACTTTAGGTCTTAACTGAATGTGCGTCAAATAGCCAATCGCCACATTATGCCTTTAGGAACTTTTGGCGAAAATAAATGAACGTCAATCCATTGAGGCAAAAAGTACACAGTCAAAGTTTAATTCAATAGGACAAAAGCTACGAAAGGAGAGCTAAAAAAATTAAGAGAAGGGAGGGCCAGAAAAGTAATGTTTGGAAAATATTAGGTGAAGTGGTAAAAGAGGATGAAAGCAGCTATGTTATGCGTGATGATTGTGAGGAGCTATACACATTCGACGGTCACACGATGGGGACTTCAATGCGATGGCATGTCAAGAGAACTGTAGCCTGCTGTTTAGATGGGTTAAATGGAGCTGAAATCTGGACATTGACTAACCAGAATAACCTACAGTTTTTTTGTCAAACTCCAAAGTCCTCTGATATTACTAGTCCCGTGCGAATCGACATCCCTGTGTTTTGACAGAAATGTCTGAGTTTGACAGGTGTTGCTCGCGGTTTGAGCAAGAAAACAATAACGGATTCGATTAATTGAACGAAGTGCTGCACATAGCCTATATATGAAGGGCTGCTCATAGCCTATATATGAAGGGCTGCCCATAGCCTATATATGAAGGGCTGCTCATAGCCTATATATGAAGGGCTGCCCATAGCCTATATATGAAGGGCTGCTCATAGCCTATATATGAAGGGCTGCCCATAGCCTATATATGAAGGGCTGCTCATAGCCTATATATGAAGGGCTGCTCATAGCCTATATATGAAGGGCTGCTCATAGCCTATATATGAAGGGCTGTTCATAGCCTATATATGAAGGGCTGCTCATAGCCTATATATGAAGGGCTGCTCATAGCCTATATATGAAGTGCTGCTCATAGCCTATATATGAAGGGCTGCTCATAGCCTATATATGAAGGGCTGCTCATAGCCTATATATGAAGGGCTGCTCATAGCCTATATATGAAGGGCTGCTCATAGCCTATATATGAAGGGCTGCTCATAGCCTATATATGAAGGGCTGCTCATAGCCTATATATGAAGGGCTGCTCATAGCCTATATATGAAGGGCTGCTCATAGCCTATATATGAAGGGCTGCTCATAGCCTATATATGAAGGGCTGCTCATAGCCTATATGAAGGGCCTGCTATAAATGAGGGGCTGCTCATAGCCTATATATGAAGGGCTGCTCATGAGCCTATATATGAAGGGCTGCTCATAGCCTATATATGGAAGGGCTGCTCATAGCCTATATATGAAGGGCTGCTCATAGCCTATATATGAAGGGCTGCTCATAGCCTATATATGAAGGGCTGCTCATAGCCTATATATGAAAGGGCTGCTCATAGCCTATATATGAAGGGCTGCTCATAGCCTATATATGAAGGGCTGCTCATAGCCTATATATGAAGGGCTGCTCATAGCCTATATATGAAGGCTGCTCATAGCCTATATATGAAGGGCTGCTCATAGCCTATATATGAAGGGCTGCTCATAGCCTATATATGAGGGCTGCTCACTAGCCTATATATGAGGGCTGCTCAATAGCCTATATATGAAGGGCTTGCACATAGCCTATATATGAAGGGCTGCTCATAGCCTATATATGAAGGGCTGCTCATAGCCTATATATGAAGGGCTGCTCATAGCCTATATATGAAGGGCTGCACATAGCCTATATATGAAGGGCTGCTCATAGCCTATATTGAAGGGCTGCTCATAGCCTATATATGAAGGGCTGCTCATAGCCTATATATGAAGGGCTGCTCATAGCCTATATATGAAGGGCTGCTCATAGCCTATATATGAAGGGCTGCTCATAGCCTATATATGAAGGGCTGCTCATAGCCTATATATGAAGGGCTGCTCATAGCCTATATATGAAGGGCTGCTCATAGCCTATATATGAAGGGCTGCTCATAGCCTATATATGAAGGGCTGCTCATAGCCTATATATGAAGGGCTGCTCATAGCCTATATATGAAGGGCTGCTCATAGCCTATATATGAAGGGCTGCTCATAGCCTATATATGAAGGGCTGCCATAGCCTATATATGAAGGGCTGCTCATAGCCTATATATGAAGGGCTGCTCATAGCCTATATATGAAGGGCTGCTCAT